GGACTAGACATTTATGCAAAGAAAATATGCAAGTGACCAATAAGCACAGAAGATGATGTCCTACATAACTGGTCATGAAGAAAATGCAAATCAAAAACAGACTGAGTTACCACTTCAAAACCACTAAGATGGTTTGAATTAAAAAGACAGAAAATGACATGTCAGCAAGGCTTTGAAAAATAGGAACCCTCATACATTGCTGGTGGGAATGTAAAATGGTCCACCTTCTGTGAAAAACAATATGGCAGTTCCTCAAAAAATTAAACCTAGAATTACCATATGATCCAGGATTTCTACTTCTTAATATATACTCAAAGAATTGAAAGCAGGGTCTCAAAGAGGTATGTATACATCCATGTTCATAGCAGCACTACTAATAATAGCCAAAAGGTGGAAACATCTGAAATGTCCATCAATAGTTGGATGGATAAACAAATCAAGGTATATACATACAACAGAATATTATTTTTCCATAACAGGGAATGAAGTATTGATACTTACTACAACTTATATGACCCTTGAAAACATTATGCTAAGTAAAAGAAGCCAGACACAATTGCTCACATGTATGGTAACTGTTATATGAGCTATCTAGAGTAGACAAATCCATAGACAGTGAAAGCAGATTAGAGGTTACTGGGGGAAAGAGGAAGGGGGAGTAATTACTTAACTGGTACAGGGTGTTGTTATAGGGTGATGAAAAGGTTTGCAAAGGAGAGAGAACTGGTAGTTGCACAACATTGTGAATACTCTAAAGGCCATTTGATTTTACATTTTTAAATGGTTAATTGTATGCTATGTGAATTTCAGCTCAGTTAGAAAATAAGAATGGATTGAAATGGATACTTTCATTGAAAGCTAATGGAAATGTAAAGTGATGCAACCTCTCTTTAGGAAACAGGTTTTCTGTATTTAAGAATAGGTGTTAAACTTCCTACTCTTTGATCCAGTATTCTGTATCTAGGAATGAAAGAAACTAATCTGGGTACAAACAAATATTGATTTGCAGAGATATTCACTAAAGCATTCTTTTTTTAATAGTCAAGGATTAGGAAAAATCCTTTATCTCCAAAAATAAGGAATTAACTTTTAAATAAGATATTATATAGGCAGGAAAATTATATTTTTGTAATGTCTGTGTAGGTATCACTTTGGAAAAATAACTTTAGAAGTATACATAATACATGTCATTTACACTGTGTTTCCTTTGGCTTTCTCTTAATGGGATTTTGGTATTTTCATCATTTTTCTCTCTGCTTATCTATTTTTAAAGAATTTTAATGATGACTAAATACTCATGAATAATACTGAGTGAAAATAATACTAAACTATGCTAAAATGTGTTTATTTGTTCATGCACATTCCTTGGAGAAAAAAGTATGTGACTAAAAGTATGCTAAAATGTAATGATAATGATTATCTCTTTATTTGAAGTTGTTGGATAATTTTACTTTATTCTTTATTACTATTCTCCTTAATAGTTTTAAGCTTTCTTATTGCATAGGCAATTTTAATAGTATAAACAGGAAAACAGAAGCTTAGTTTGATGTCTTGTGGACTAAAGAGTCAACTTTAAGTCTTTTAACATAAGGGATGGTGGAGACCAAGGTTTTATCAGTGAAGATGAAAGCTCCAGATAGCAGGCTTCAGAGAGAGTAGATTGTAAATGCTTCTTATCAGACTTAAAAAGTCTGTTCTGTCAGTCTTAAGGTCTTTGTATTGCTGTTCATGTTGGTCAGCTGTGCCTGAATTCCAATAGAAAGGAGAATATAATGAGGCATGTCTGACCCTCACTTCCCATTCATGGCCTGAACTAGTTTTTCAGGTTAACTTTTGAATGCCTGAGGGGATTGTCCATCAGTTGGTTGTGAGGCTTAGAATTTTATTTTTGGTTTGCTTCTGTTAAGTCAGTCTTTGCTAGTAGTGTAATGAAATCAGCTTGTGTTTAATTTTTATTTTTGTTTGTTTTTGAGATAGGGTCTCAATCTGTCTCCCAGGCTGGAGTGCAGTGGTGCAATCACAGCTCACTACAACCTCAACCTCCCCACGCTCAGGTGATTCTCTCACCTCAGCTCCCAAGTAACTAAGACTACAGGCAGAAGCCACCATGCCTGGCTAATTTTTGTATTTTTTGTAGAGATGGGGTTTCACCACATTGCCCAGGCTGGTCTCAAAGTCCTGTGCTCAAGCAGTCCACCTGCCTTGGCCTCCCAAAGTGTTGGAATTATAGGCGTGAGTCACTGTGCCCAGCCTGTGTTTAATTTTTAATTCAACTCTGTAAGAATAAATTTTATCTTAACAAAGATAACTAACATGATTATTTACTATGTGAGATACTCTACTTTTAAACATTATCTTTCAATCAGCACAATGCCACAAGGTGGACTAATTCTACAGCCCATGCTGTTCACAATACTATTTGCCAGCCCCCTTGAATATTAAAATATTTATATATTAATTAACTTTGTCATTTAAATGTTAAGTTTAAGCATGTAGAAAAATACCTAGGAAATACATGTTCTATAAAAGTGAATGACAGTAGGAAAAGATTGACTATTGGAATGGCAGTGTGAGGACCACATCAACTTACTCTCCCAGAGCCCCCCCTCAAAAAAAACAACAAAAAAATACTGGCCAACCATATAATATCCCCATTTCAGAACTCTGGAAATTAACCAAAGCCACAGAATAGACTGAGTATTGTCTATTCTAAGGAAAACTACTGATCCTTGATAAGACACAGATTCTGTAGCATTTTTAACTTGGAGCTATTCTCACCCTGCCTCCCTTCTCAATTGAGTAGTGCAGTAGCCCTGGAAAGCCAGCAGCTTCACAGCCAATGGATTTGACTGACCTCCTTGGAGCCACATGAAAATCTCTATCCCTATTACTATCAAAATTTTGTCTGAACTAGCAACTCCCTGGAAAATCTTCATTCTCGGTATCTTGACTATTTCATTTGACTAGGGCATTACCAAAAACAACAGTCATCTATCGGCAACATCTCAGCTATCAGAACCTGTGATTAAAGGTAGAGGAAACAAGATCCTCGTCAAAACAGAAGAGGAATTCTTAGAAAACTGGAAAACATAGGCAGCTTTGAAAAGCTACAACATATTCTGGGGATCTAGAAGACTTTGCAAATTCCTAGAAAGGAAAACACCTCTTCAAATACTCAGCTCCCTTCTGCTTCACCATGTAGCCCTACGTAAGCAGGAAATGAAAACTAAGGCTGTCCTTTAAACTATCTGAACTTTGAAAACATGCCTTCACACACAAACCACTTTGACAAAGAGTGGAAGATGTACAGGCAAGATATTTAGGGAAATCTCACAACAAATCACTGGCTGACCACTAAATAATACTGACCCAAGTAGGCCAAGTAGGAAGCCAGATATAGAATAAAAACTTTAAAAATAAAAATTAAAAAGAACTTGGGGGCAACCACTTCAGGAAATAGAGAATCCACAGAATTCACTAAATGAAAAAAAAAAAGCTACTAAACAAATAAACAGTAATAAAAACAACAAACCCTTGGGTGGGGTTACGTGATACCACAGTTGTCACTATTATCTTAAAGGTCCAGTTTTCAACAAAAATTATAAGACCTACAAAGAAACAGGAAAGTATGCTAATATATATTTCTTAAAAAAAAAAAAAGGCAACAGAAAATGTGCCTCAAAGGCCAGATGCATTACTTAATTGTTACGAGTGAGAGAGAGAGAGAGAGAGAGAGTGTGTGTGTATGTGTGTGTGTGTGTGTGTCCACGTGTGTGTAGTTGAGCTTCTTTCATGTGCTTATTCATCATTTTCATGATTAACAACTGTTAGTAATTTGGGAAATGCAAGTAAAAACCACATGAGATACCACTTCACAACCAGGAGAATGGCTGTAATAAAAAAGACACAATAAAAAGTGTTATTGAGGATGTGGAAAAATTTGAACCATCATCCATTGCTGGTACATAAAATGGTGCAGGTACTTTGGAAACAGTTCGGTAGTTCCTAATGATGTTAAACACTCTTAACTACATGATCAAGGAAAAGGAAAACAAGAGTAAATACAAAAATGAACCCTGTGTATGAATGTTCACACCATTATTCATAATAATCAAAAATGGAAATGACTGAAACGTCCATCAATTAATGAAATTAATGAAACTAAATTTATATAACAACAGTAATATTTGGCAAATAACAGTAATAAAGTATGGAAACATGCTAACATATAGATGAACCTTGAAAACATGCTAAGTGAAAGAAACCAGTCACCAAAGACCATATTGTAGGATTCCATTTATATGAAACCTTCAGAATAGGCAAATCTGTAGAGGCAGAAAGCAGATTAGTGATTACATACAGCTGGAAGTGTGTGGGTTGGAAACAGACGTGACTGCTAATACGTATAGAGTTTCTCAAGTGATAAAAATGTTCTAAGATTAGATTGTGGTGATGTCTGAACAATTCTTTGAATATACTCAAAACCACTTAACTGTACACTTTAAATGGGTGATGTGTATGGTATGCGAATTATATCTCAGTAAAGCTGTTTTCTTTAAAAAGTGAATCACTGGCCGAGCACAGTGGCTTATGCCAATAATCCCAGCATTTTGAGAGGCCGAGGGAGGGGGATCACTTGATCCCAGGAGTTTGAGGCCAGGCAACATAGTGAAACCCCATCTCTACAAATATTTAAAAATTAGCTCAGCTTGGTAGTGCACGCCTGTGGTCTCAGCTACTTGGGAGGCTGGGAGGAGGATAGCTTGGGCTTGAGAGGTCAAGATTCAGTGAGCTGTGATCGTACTACTGCACTGCAGCCTAGGTGACAGAGTGAGACCATGAAAGTGAATCATTAATATTAATGAACTGTATGTTTCACATCACGTCTTTAAACATGATACATTCTAATACCTATATTTTTAACATTTTATCAATTTAATATTTGATGGGAACAGTGTTTCCAGATATATTTTTAATGTTTTTTAATTGAATAATTCTAGCTGGCCAACTCAGCCAATCCGCACATTTAGCTCTCCAACTACCATACAACGTGCTTGGTTTAGGGCGGAGCGCAAATTTTCTTGACCATCTCTATGTTGGTATTCCCCGTCCATCTGGAGAAAAAGTAAGTAAAAATTCATTTTGTTTACAGTTAATCTGTGTCTTAATATTCACTATTTAAATATTTAAATTAATTTGAGCCTAACTGAATTTGAATTCAAATAAATAAAATATTTTTATTCCTTTCAGTGAATAAGAAAAATGTATTGGTAATGACCTAAGCTTATCTTACATAGAGCGCATCATGATTTGCAGATACCATGTAGTTTTTCCCTCTCCTCTCCCATAAACCTCACCTATCCCTCCATCCCGCTTTTTCTTCCTAACATTTTTCACCACTTAACATGTACATAAAACATTTTACTAACATAAATACTATTATTATACATATGTATATGTATTATATATAATATGTATAATTGTATTATTTTACTTGCTTTATTGTCAGTCTCCCCTTAACTTGAATTTTAGCTCCAAGCAGCATTTGTATATAACCCTTTCAACACTGCCTGCTACATAAGTGTCTAATAAATATTTGTTAAATGAATGAATTGATAAAACACAAATATAATCTTTCCTGCCGGGTACAGTGATTCTTGTCTGTAACCTCAGCACTTTGGAAGGCCGAGGCAGGTGGATCACCTGAGCTCAGGAGTTCACGACCAGCTGGGCAACACGGTGAAACCCCATCTCTGCTAAAATACAAAACATTAGCTGGGCATGGTGGCGTGCACCTGTAGTCCCAGCTACTCTGGAGGCTGAGGCAGGAGAATTGCTTGAACACAGGAGGTGTAGGATGCAGTGAGCTGAGATCACACCACTGCCTTCCAGCCTGGGTGACAGAGCGAGACTCCATCTCAAATACATACATACATACATATATATATATATATATGTAAAATCTTTCCCTGAAAAGATGAGAAAGTTTTCCAACAGATGATACAAAAGCCTTATTTTTGGCTTAATATTGGTAAACATAACTTAATACATACCTTTGAATCTCTCAAAGTAGTTGAGATTTTTCCTTATTTATTTAGAATAATAATTGTGTTTTTTAAATGTACTGAATGTTAAATCTTCTTAAATTCTTCTTCTTCCAGTCTATACGAAAACAAGAATGGACTGCAATCATTCCAAATTCCCAGCTAATTGTCATTCCATACCCTCACAATGTCCCTCGAAGGTAATGCCCTTGCTTGAACTGATTTGGTAAAGACACTGCTAACTCTGAATTATAGATATAGTGATGTCTTTTAAACTCTCTCATATTTCTGCTGTGTTCCCATGAGTACCCATCTCTTAATTTGCTTATGGCAAACTTTAAATGACTAAACATACTTACATAAAAGGTCCCAGATATTTTTCATGAAGAACAAATTCAATCGTATTAGAAAAACATCAGGTTTTCTCATTAGGGATTTATACATATTCCACTTAAACTGCTCTTCAGTTTACTAGTTATAAATTCAAATTTTCAGGATACTAAATCTTTGTATAAAGCACTGATCTTTTAAATAAATTATTTGAGAAGTAGTATATATCCCAGCGGTTGGGCACAAATTTTGGAGTTAAATAGATGTAGGCTAGAAAAATTCAGCTCCATTGCTGACTGACTGCAAGACTAGGAGCCAGTCCTTTGTCCTCTCCAAGACTCAGTTTCTGCATCTGAAGGTGAAATATACTTAACACAGTGCTAGTTAAGTGAACAGTAGGTATTTTTATCCTTATTAACAGGATACATTCATTTCATAATACAGCATTTAACTCGAAATCCTTAATTTATCTTTGTTCATTTTTATTTAAATTCCTAGATTGATTCTATTCTTTTTAAGTTAGGTAATAAAAGCATTCCCTAACATTTAAATTTCATAGAGAAAAATATGCTAGACAATATCAATAAGGGAAAATAACCAAAAAGAAATGGTGAATTTATCTATGAATATGTAATCAGTGGGGTCCCCTGCTTGTTACATTCCCTCTGAAAATACGGGCTTCATAATTCTTTATTAAATGTTTCAATCGACTATATTGAGTGCCAAAACCAGCTGTGCCACTTCATGAGCTGACTCTGTGCATCTCTATTCAGTGAAGTCACACTAAAATCAGTTACGGTGGGAGAATCCACTCCATGAAAATTGGCAGGTACCATTATCAGGGCTTCCCCCACCCCTGTCTACCTCAGAGCCAGTTTACCAGCACAACTGAGCAGATGCATTTTATGACAGATTAATGGGCTTTAGAACCAAACTGCTTAAGAAAATAAACTTTATTACAGCCTTATGCTTGGAATAAGATGACATCATTGAAACAGTTATAGTCCTGGTTCAGATTTTTTTTAATGAGCCTGTATTGTATGCTTGTGTTAGTTTTCTATAGATGAAATTTACAGTAAAACTAGAAAATCTGGACCATGAGTAAGAAACTATATAAAGTAAGATACTTCTATACAGTTCAGTATCATGACTTTATTTCACTGCCATGGACATAGAACTGTCCCTTAAGATGGAGTGGTAAGCTAAAAAACAACAACAAACAAAAGAAGCAACAGCAAAATGTAGAAGAGTATGTATAACGAGCAGCCATTGTGATTAAAAAATAAGATATCTAAACATACATGTTCATGTATGTATAAATTATCTCTGAAAGAATATGCAAGAAACTGGTGAGACTGCCTCTGAGCAGAAAACTGAGGGTTGGCTTTTGTCTTTTTTTTTTAACCAAAATACTTATATTCCTGATTTGTTAAAAATCTATTTTAAAAGTAGAACTACCAAAAACATCTCATAAAAGAACTGTTTTCTTAAGTATGAGTACAACACTAAGAGTAGCTTTCAACTAATTAACAGTATTTGTTTTCTTAAGGTTACTTACTCTTCTGAATTTCCAGATAATTATACCATAGCTTTTTCCCGTAATCTCAACATTTTTTCATGTTTCTCTTACTCTTTCCAAAGAAAAGTTCTTTTCAAATTTATGTACATAATAAAAACCAAATTGATTTTAGTTTGAGGTGTATTTTGAGGTTTATTGACTAGAGGCTAACTTATGGATCAATAAATTTTAATTATCCTAGAATAAGTCAATAGCTACTTGCTATTTACCAGAACATTCTTACCTTTATTAAACTTTTAAAATAAAAATATATCCATTACCTATTTATAGGGAGAACAAAAAGTTATGTGTATATAACAACCTGCAATGTTGGTGATACAGTCATTAGTTTTAGGCTTTTCAGGGTGTGTAAATGCTATATTATATGGACTGTTTTAGAAGGAAGAAGCTAGTTCTAATTTTTAAACACCTCTAGTCTGTATATTGTCATTAACAGTGAGGGACTAAAGGTGATTTTGTAAATGATTTTCTAAGTGACTCAACCTAAAAAGTCATTGTAGTAAACCCTCCAAGATGATACAAAAACTATAGAAGTTTTGCACAAGCCATCAACATGCAAAATATTTTGTTTTTATTGGTCATATATTTATGACACAGGTCATGCATGATAATAAAATAATAAAATAAGATGATACAGAAGGCTTCTAGGCTCATGTGACTACTTCATTTTAGAGTTCAAGATTTCAAATTAAGCAGGTGGATCAAGATACAAAAAAGATGTCTATGATTGTTCAAAGTACCCTTAGATGTGTTTACCTAAGAATAATTCATAGGAATCAAACTTAGAAATGAAAAATATCGAAATATCTCATCACAAATTCTACTTCAATTGTCTAAGTAAAATATAAACCGCAGCATTATCAATATTCTCAGCACTATCTGATTTTAATTGCTTTTGTTTTATTTATAATGAATAAACAGATGAATGGTTTAATGAATAAATTGTTTCATTAATTAATAAGCTATTTTGCTTTGGGGTCTCAATATAACTGTTATTTTTAAGTAAAATTTGTAATTTAATCTGTTCTGTTTTTATCTACAGTTGGAGTGCCAAACTGTATCTTACACCAAGTAACATTGTTCTGCTTACTGCTATAGCTCTCATCGGTGTGTGTGTTTTCATCTTAGCAATAATTGGCATTTTACATTGGCAGGAAAAGGTTTGTTCATTTAAATGAAACATTAACTTTGGTTAATTTATTCTAGTAATACTTACATTGCTCTTTAAAAACACTATATTTTTTTTAAACTTTTTTCATATGATTAGAATTTCCTCATTTTTCAAGTTCTTTTCAAAGCATCATTTTATTGATGATAATTTCTTTTATCCTTGGAAGTTATTAATATCTCCTATCAATTCATAAAAGTTTGATGCTGTACAATAGTAATAAAGTGATCACCCAGAAATCAAAAGGCATTTAGAAACAATTTCATAATGACCTGAAAAATAATAACAATTTTTTAAATGAATTTGTGTTCTGAACCTACTGATAAAGGCATGGACATTCTTTGGCTAGGCTTAACAGTTATCTCTTTTGAAGAAATTAAGAGTACAAACAGGTTAGATTATTTTCTTGCAGTTTAGGCAAAAGATAACAACTAAAGTGATAAACAGCCAGGAGCGGTGGTCATGCCTGTAACCCCAGCACTTTGGGAGGCCGAGGTGGGCAGATTGCTAGAACTCAGCAGTTCAAGACCAGGCTGGGGAACATGAACCTCGTCTCTACAAAATATACAAAAATTAGCCAGGTGCCATGACACAAGCCTGTAATCCCAGCTACTCAGGAGGCTGAGGTGGGAGAATCACCTGAGCCCAGAAAGTTGAGGCAGCAGTGAGCTGTGATTGCACCACTTCACTCTAGCCTGGGAAAAAGGAGTGAGACCCTGTCTCAAAAAAAACAAAAGGCCACAAACATATTTTTCATCTATTAAGTATTCTTTGCATTAAACCGATTTCTGTTCTTTAATATAATACTCTAAATAATAATGGAAAAGAAAACTCCCAAATACGTAAAAGATTTTTATGCAATGTTTATGTGAAAAAAAAAGAAGCTATCACTATAAATTTATTAGCAGTTTAGATATAATTGAAAAGCTAATTTCTATTTGTATATGGGTTCCAATTAATGCCCTCTGAAAAGCGCTTCTTTGTGGCACAAAAGAAAGGTGTTTTTTTTTTCCACCTACACTCTGGATCATCATGCCATCATAATCATTTTTTTGCTAACTAAACTTACTGTCTTTGTTCTTTTAACATATGAAAAATAGAACATATTAGTTGTTCTATAAATGTTCATACATTTGTCGCTTTAAAAAAATCATTCCTTTATATATCAAAAACAATAACATGAAATTACATATTCAGTTAACTTGAAGATTGCAACTTAAGAGTAAGATCAAAGACAACCATACATACTTTGTCCAGAAGTATCAGAATATCATCTGAAAGATTCCATAGCTTGACCTAGGAAGCAAAGGAAATTAATTTCATTAATTCCTCAGTAGATCTGATTACAGCATAAACATTGTGGGCTTATAACAATAATTATGTAGTGGCCCAAAATTAAAGTTTTAAGCATAAGTATATATTTGACCATGTATATACTGTGTCTCCTGGAGCAGTGTGGTATCTCAAAGAGGTAGAACCTCTTAAACCGATTTTTTACCCAAGCCGTCTGGTTCCTTCTACCATTTTCTCAATGCAAGCTTTCCACAATGTCTGCCCTGGCCCTCTTCTTTCAACACTTTCCCTGCCAATCTTATTTAAAATCATGGCTTTGGATATCCCCAGCTCTCATCTCTAAAGGTCCTTTCCCATTTCCAACTGTCACCATGATAGCTCAACCTAGATGACACAAATACCTCAAAACCAGCATTCTAAAGCTTCATCTGTCTTACTTACCTATAAGATTTCATCATTTGCCTATGGACTCTGCCTCCGTAAGAAGTTTTTCAGTTGACTCCACTTCTACATTACTACCACACTGCTTCAGCCTCGCCCCTTCTTACGTCCTACTTGGCTTCTCTCCTTCTGTTCTCTCCCCTTTCCATTCCATTTAGCACACTGCTGCCAGACAACTCATCATTCGGTTTAGCCTTCATCATGTCACTCCCCTGCTCAAAAAGCTCTGGTGACTTTTATGTATAAAATCCTTGGCCTGGCCAGCATTATGACTTACATGTGACTCCACAGTCTTATTTTTTTACCAGTTCCTTTCACATATCCGTGCTCCTTCCAGCCCTCTCATGATTGCAGATGTTGTACCGCCAGCTTGGACTGAATGTTGCTCACACCATTTCAGTGCTTTCAAATGCTTTCCATGTCTTTTCAAAGCTTTCCCTTTCCTCACCAAAATCTAGAAGTAGTCTCTTAGACTTGGTAACATTTTTCACTTTTTATCTTGAACTACAGTTATACAGTATGTTTTGCATTTGTCTTTTTGGAGGACAAGATTCAAAACTGAGGTTCTTTTAATCTGAAAATACCAAACACAGTATTGGTATTGGGAGTATTGGGAGCAAAAGGCCAATGAATAACTGCTAAATTAACAAGTTAACTAGATTTGTTTTTTGTTTTGTTTTGTTTGAGATGGAGTCTTACTCTGTCACCCAGGCTGAAGTGCAGTGGCGCAGTCTTGGCTCACTGCAAATTCTACCTTCTGTGTTCAAGCAATTCTCCGGCCTCAGCCTCCCGAGTAGCTGAGATTACAGGTGCTCATCACCTCTAGCTAATTTTTAAATTTTTTTGGTAGAGTCAGGGTTTTACCATGTTTGCCAGGCTGGTCTCGAACTCCTCACCTCAAGTGATCCACACTCCCTGGCCTCCCAAAGTGCTGTGATTACAGGCGTGAGCCACCACCACACCCACCCACTAGATTTGTTTATTAACATCAGTGTTAAGAATGAGAGAAAAATGCAATCATTGATTTATCCTTATAGAATCTAGTGCTTATTCATATTTTCAAATAGATAATAAATAAGAAGCTAAGTATTTCTTGTTGGTTTTTTGTTCAATTAGATCATTAATTATAAAACAGCTACTATAACCTACAGTAATACTTCCTAGGATTATTGCATTAGGAAATCATATCTATTATCTACTAATTGCTGGAGACCCCTAAAAATGAATAACTGTGTATTTCAGAAATTAGTCTTTTCATAACATTCTGCTACCATTTATAAACGAATCTAAAATTCTTTTTCAGAAAGCCGATGATAGAGAAAAACGACAAGAAGCCCATCGGTTTCATTTTGATGCCATGTGACTTGCCTTTAATATTACATAATGGAATGGCTGTTCACTTGATTAGTTGAAATACAAATTCTGGCTTAAAAAAGAAAATAGGGGAGATTAAATATTATTTATAAATGATGTAGCCCTTGGTAATTATTGGAAAGTATTCAAATAAATATGGTTGAATATGTCACAAGGTCTTTTTTTTTTTAAGCACTTTGTATATAAATCTGGGTTCTTTATGCCATAGTGCTGTACATTTTTGTTCCTTTGTGGAATGTGTTGCATGTATTCCAGTGTTTGTGATTTATAATCTTATTAGAGTCATGATGATGGAAAAAGACATGTAAATAAAAATATTTAAATGAGCAGGAATTTTTGTGTCCACTTGGCTTGGTCTTGCTTCTTATTCTAACGATGTATTTGGTGAATACACTTTTGTGAATATATCACAGAGTTATTATGCATTTAGCTTCATCGCAGCAGGTCAGGGGTCTCTCACTGATGGCATACAATATAGGGATCGGGTACTCTGACTTCTTATCACAGTAAGACAGACTTGCCTTAAACTCCTAATTCCTCCACTTTCAAAGTCATTGCTTGAACTTGGCTTTTGTTTAACTTCTCTAAGCCTCAGTTTTCTTGTTTATTCAGTAGGACTAATAAAACTTGAGTTATTGTAAACATTAAATGGGATGATATATAGCTTGGTGCCTAGCACAGAGTAAGTGCACAATACATGGTAGTTGTCATTATTACTATTTTAGATGATGTTATTAGACTTATACATCTAATTATAGAAATATACAAACTTGATAGAATTTTATTTTCAGGCATGAGGAAATAATAGTCTTTGGAAAAATCAAATTCTTGGTGATTGACATCTTCTATAAAGATTTACTTGCTCATATTAACTAAAAATTATAGTACTCTCCAAGAATTAATGTGCCCCAAAAATTTTCCTCTGAAAACTGATTCTTATCATGTGATAATGAAGAACATTTGATTTCTTGAAAGGAAACCGCTGTAGGCAGCATCTGGGAATGCAAATCTTCAATCACATTTCTATTCTCAAAGGCTTGGAGAAGTCTATAATTTCCTATCAGACTTCAATGCACATTTTATATTGTGAACTTCACATTGCCAAAAAGTTACTTTAAAAAGAGTTAAAGACTGAGAAAAAAAGTTTACCAATGCTAACAATTTTCTAATATGCAAATGGACATGTGATGACTATAAAACACAAAATTTCTCTGAAAACAATTTTGTTCTTCATGTGATTTTTTTTCTTTACATGTCACTGAGAATGGCATGTTTTTACTTTGTATCTAAGCATGTTAACATGTCTTCTTAATAAATATTCCTTATTGAAACAAAGTATTTTGGTGAGTTTTTAAATAATTATTCTGGAGCATGAAGAAACCTTAGAGCTTATGAAAGCATTTATCTTCACTGGGAGACTGGGGTAAGGTGACTTGCCCACTGCCTCTCTATGGGTCAGGGGCAAGAAGGGAGTCTCCTGACTGTAATATTCAGTTAAATTCACTAGTTATCAACCCACAGCACTGGGCCAGGTACCACACTTTCCCAAAGACAAGTGGGCTCATTATCTATGGATAGCCTGAGTCTTTTTTTTTGAGACGAAGTTTCTCGGTCGTTACCCAGGCTGGAGTTCAATGGCGCCATCCTGGCTCACCGCAACCTCCGCCTCCTGGGTTCAGGCAATTCTCCTGCCTCAGCCTCCTGAGTAGCTGGGATTACAGGCACACGCCACCATGCCCAGCTCATTTTTTGTATTTTTAGTAGAGACGGGGTTTCACCATGTTGACCAGGATGGTCTCGATCTCTTGACCTCGTGATCCACCCACCTCGGTCTCCCAAAGTGCTGGGATTACAGGCTTGAGCCTCCGTGCCCAGCAACCTGAGTCTTAAAACTCATGTGGAGTCAGTGTTTACAAGACAAATAAAATGTTAATGACAAAACTATAATCAGTGACATTAATACTGCTTCTGTATTTCCAAATGCAACTTTAATATGAAGGGACAGCAGATAAAGACTATGTCACACATTTGGAATCACTAATAAAGACCTTTGTTTTCATTTTGAATATTGCAGTGGAAAGAGAACAAGGCTTTGAGGTCAGACCAATCTGGGTTCACAGCCCAACTCCCTGATTTCATGACTTTGAATCAGCCACTTCTTTGAACTTTGGTTTCTTCATCTGTTAAACAAAGATACTGAGTGATACCTACCTTCAAGGACTGCTGTGAGTCTGAAATGGCAGTTTGTACATAGAAGGTACTTGATAAGTACTGGCTTTTTTCTTCCTTCCCATCCCATTACAGTGACTAACATTTTCTGACATATTTTTCCCACTGACTATACATTTGTGTCATCCATCTTTGGGGAGCTAGGAGGAGTAATTAAGAATTAATAATCATTTTGAAGATGTTGTAAATATGTTGTTAATACACCATTTATTTGAACTAGCCCTTTACATTGCCCCATCCTTGCAAGTAGCTAGAATACCTCATAAAAAGAAACAAAAACTTAAAATGTGTCCAGCAGACTTCAGTGATATACCTAGGACTGATCTAGGATACTTAAGGGCTTAGTCCTCAGGATAAAGGTGAATTAAAGGAAATCAGCCCTTGTGATTACCTGCACCTGACCAGTTATTTTAAAAGGCTAATAAAATAGGTAACAGATTAGGTAGTGCTTTTGATCCACAGCTGTATAAGGGAAAGGAAGGAAACAATCTTAGGCAGAGAAATTGAATTGTGATGTGTTCTCAATGGAGTGCCACCTACAACCCTCCATCGAGTTCTGAGATAAGAAGACCTTTCCTGTCTCCTAACCTGTCCAAAGTTAGAATATGAAGGCTGAGTACCCTTTTCATTTTTGATACTGGTTATTTGTACCTGTTTTCCTTTTCTTGTTAGAGGCCTTTGGGGCAGCCAACTGATGAATGTGGGAATGTAAAGGCCCAGCCTTCGTATTCTAACTTGGGACAGGTTAGGAGATAGGAAAGGTCGTCGTATCTCAGAACTTGATGGAGGGTTGTATGTGGCACTCAATTGAGAACACATCACAGTTCAGTTTATCTGCCTAATCTCAAGAAAAAAAAAATGAAAAGGGTATAACTACAGATAATCTATTTATTTAAAGTAGGAAGACTCTGAGAATAATTTTATACCAATATATTTGAAAGTTTATACAAAATGAACCAATTCATAGGAAAATATCACCAGAATATAACCAGAAACAAAACTCTAAATACTTCTGGTAGATACTGTGGTACGTCCAGATCTGGCATCAAGAATAAAGGACTTCTTATCCTAACTTCTGTGAATGTCATCATGTTCATCTGCCAGCCTCATCTAGAGAGCAGACTCACCCAAGAACAGTCCCCGCTTCTTGACATTTAAAAAAGAAAAAAAGGCCAGGCGTGATGGCTCACGCCTATAATCCCAGCACTTTGGGAGGCCGAGGCGGGTGGATTACGAGGTCAAGAGATCGAGACCATCCTGGTCAACAAGGTGAAACCCCGTCTCTACTAAAAATATAAAAATTAGCTGGGCATGGTGGTGCGTGCCTGTAGTCCCAGCTACTGGGGAGGCTGAGGCAGAATTGCTTGAACCCAGGAGGCAGAGGTTGCAGTGAGCCGAGATCGTGCCATTGCACTCCAGTCTGGGTAACAAGAGTGAAACTCTGTCTCAAAAAAATAATAAATAAATAAACTCCTAAATGTTCATAAGCTAAAAAGTAAAAACTGACAGACCTGTAAGGAGAAATAGACAAAATCACGATTTAAGTGGGAGACAAGACTCTTCTCCAGTAACTGAAGGAAAAAGTAGGCAGGAAATCAGAAAGCTTAGAGCTAACCTGAAAAGCACTCAATCTAACCTAGTGGATATTTACATAACTCTAACCAACAGCAGCAAACTAGTCTTTTTCAGTGCACATGGAACACTTACCAAGATAGACCATATTCTTGGGCCATAAAACAAGTCTCACCAAATCTAAAAGAATAGAAATCATACAAAGTAGATTATGAAACTATAATAGATTAGAACTGGAGAGATACATGGAAAATAGCCATATATTTTGAAATTAACACATTTTTAAATGACTATAGGGTCAAAGAAGAAGTCTCAAAGGAAATTTTAAAATATTTTGAGCCAAACAAAAAATACAACATACCAAAATTTGTAATAGGCAGTGCTGAGAGGGGGGGATTTATAATATTAAATGCATATATTAACAAACAAGAAGGGGGATGAAAGAAAGCAAGGAAGAACTGATACTCCCCAAAGTGATCTGTAGATATCACACCATCCCTATCAAAATCCCAACAGTATTTTGGGGTGGACATGGACAAGATTTTGTGCAACTTATATGAAAGAGAAAAGAAAGTAGGATAGTTTAAAACAATTTTGAAAAAGAAGACAAAGTTGAAGAAATCAAGCTGAGTGACTTGGAAACTTATTATAAAGCTAAAGTAATAAAGATAGTATGGTATTGGCAAAGAGAGACACAGACCAATGGAATAAAATAGAGTCCAGGAATAAACCCACACAAATATAGACATCTGATGTTTGACAAATATGTAAAAGTTACTGAGTGGAAGACAGTCTTTTCAACAAATACTGTCAGAACAATTGATTGTATTTGCCATAAATACTAAGGGGAAAAAAAAGAACCTTGATCTAAACCTCACACCTTATACAAAAATTAACTTAAAATGGGTCATAAATTTAAAATGTAAAATGATAAAAGAACATAGAGAATATCCTCATGAGCTAATTAAGCAGAGTTCTTAGAAATGACACCAAAGTTATGATCCTTTCAGAAAACTAATAAATGTGACTTCATCTAAATTAAAAATGTTTGCCTTAACAAAGACACTTCCAAGAGAATGGACAAGGTATATACACAAAGAAAAAAAAATTTTTTTTTTGAGATGGAGTCTCACTCTGTCACTCAGGCTGGAGTGCAGCGGTGTGATCTCAGCTCACTGCAGCCTCTGCCTCCCAGGTTCAAGCAATTCTGTCTCAGCCTCCCAAGTAGCTGGGACTACAGGCATGCACCACCATGACCAGCTAATTTTCGTATTTTTAGTAGAGATGGGGTTTCACCATGCTGGTCAGGCTGGTCTCAAACTGTTGACCTTAAGTGATCCATATGCCTCAGCCTCCCAAAGTGCTGGGAATAATAGGTATGAGCCACCACGCCCAACCAAGAAAATATTTTCAAATCACATACCCAACAACAGACTTGGATCCTTAGCTCTCAAAACTCAACAATATAACAACTCAGACAAGATGACACCTAAGGAAGCTCCTGACTCCCAAAGCTGAAACCAAAGCAAAAG